TCATGAAAGGCCTTGAAGGATAATATTGCAGTAGAATTGCCTAGTACTACAGAGAAGATTCTAAAATTGGATGTTAGAGGAATTGATGCACAAATATGCCTGCTGCCCTCTGCAATACCAGGAGGCCTGGGTCAGGGTGGTTGTCATAGGAGAACAATCTTTATAAAACAATAAAACTTTAAAATATTTGCTAGTGATAGTCTGTGGGAGAGCAGTGTCAGACCTTCAGAAAAGACTAAAAGGCAATGAGTATTCCCGAGACAGATAGTCAAGCAGTAGTTGTCTAACATGAAAGTACTTCCTGCTTTCACACTAATTGTTGTTGAGGGCAAAGATTTATTCTTAGTCCAGGAAAGTTTCAATGAATTAAATGTATCTGGGTATAAATCACAACTTTGAAACAGATGCCAGGTGAAGGGAAGAACACTTTAGTTATGTATTGAAGCTTAGGTAAACAAAAATGTTTGTAACATATATAGATCATTAGATACCAAGTTGATATTCTCTTTGGATCATCACTCTGAAGAAAGAATGGATGGACTGTATTGCTAGTTGGCTATTTTGAAACTGATAAAAAAGCAAGCCATGAGTTTGGCCAAATATAGTTGGCCGTCATATAACCTTACGGCTAGAAGGTAACCACCGTGACAGTCACAGGGGCACATCAGACGTCAAGGTCACTCTGATAATTAGCTTGACAGTGCCTGCTATAGACAGGGGACTATCAAAGAGAGAAAGCCATCACAATGGCCACTTACCAACAACAATGTGGTAAAAGGTGAGATCACAAATATTTTGGTGCTCAAAGAGGAACTCCAGGCTGATGTGACCATCAATGGCAACCCTTAATATTGACAGTCAACACAAGTGGCACAGATTGGTAAATGTTAGCAGAATCAGCCATTATCAGCACATCAGTAGTTAGGTAGTTCAGCTGGTAAATGCCCCTTATCATCTATTTTCTGAACTTGGTTAGGCTAGGATTGGTTTCATTTGTTCTTTAAATATTTTATTGCATTCACTGATGAAACAATTCAAAACTCAGCTTTTCTTTGTGGGAATTATTTCCTTATGCTAGATTGCTTCAGATGTGAGAATTATGATTTCATTGTTATTTTGAATTACATTTCTCTAGGAACATCTTTTCAAGTACTTACTGATCATTTCTAATTCTTACTCAAATAAATGTATATTCACAGCCTTTGCTCAGCTTTTTACTTATTTTTTTTTGAGCTTACTAATTTCTAAAAGATTGTTTTTGTGATAGAATACACACAACAAAATTTAGTATCTTAATTTAAAATATACAGTTCTGTGGTATTAAATAGATTCACAATGTTAGGCATCTATCCCACAGTGCAGCTGAACAACCCTTTCCAGTTTGCAAAACTGAAACACTGCATCCACTTAACTAATTCCCCATCACCCGCCCTGAGCACTGTGCAAACACCATTCTGTTAGTTATTTCATCAAACATAATGTCCTAAAGGTTCATCTGTGTTCCAGAATCTCCATCCTTCTTGAAGATTGGTAATCTTCCATTACATACACATAGCCCATGCTGTTTAGCCATTTGTCAATGGACGGTTGGGCTGTTTTCACCGTTGCGTAATGCTGCTGTGAGCAGCGGTATCAAGTATGTTAGGCACATACCTACTTTGAATTCTTTTGGATATAGACCAAGCTGCAGAAATGCTGAACCACATAATTCCATTTTAAATTTTGTTAAGAACGCTCCTATGTTTTCCACAGTTGATAAAACATGTTGCATTCCCACCAGCAGGGCACAAGTGTTTCAGTTTTTCCACATTCTCATTGGTAGTCTCCCTCCCCCCATAGTTGTTACCCTAGTATATTTTTGATTTGCATTGAGCAAATTCTTTATGTCCTTGTTGACCATTTGTGTATCTTCTTGGAAGTCTAGGCATGCCTCATAATTTCTTTAGTTGAAACCTAACAATATATTTTAAGGAATATATTCTAACAATTTGGCATGAGACCCTCTACTTGTGAGGCTGGTTTTAGTTGCTATCTGCTTGTCTTTGTAGTAAGTACACTAGTTAGTGTACTAGTTAGTACACCAGTTTAGCAAACATAGTACACTAGTTTAGCAAAATTTATCTCCCTTTGATATTACCTTTGATATTTATCAATAAGTAATTATCATTACCTTTCTGTTATTTTTGTCTATTATGTCTGCTGACAGAGCACACTGTTGTTTCAAAATCACCTGGCATCAATTGCTTCAAGTAATTCAATTCTTGTTGTAGTATAGGAGATGCCCTTGAGGTTTTTCCAACCCCTGAAAGTTCTTTTCTCTTTCACTGGTTCTGATTGGTAAACCAAGTTTTAGTTTGTTGCCCTCATAGAACTACCTCTTCTTAATTCCATTCCCACTGTCTCCATTATTTTTCAGAAGTTCATTTTGGTTCAATGAAGTAATTGCCTTTGGGAAATTTGGATCTCAATGTTCTCTCAACATCCTGATCCAAATCTGAGCCACTACTGTAGAAGCTGGGTAAGAGGGTACCTACTAGGTTTGCCTCTCCTAGTACTAAACTTTTACTTTATGAGTAGGTTGGGGTAAAGGAAAATGGCTTCCCAGCTCTGCCTGTGGAAAAGCTTTTGCGCTGTATGGATGCTGTGAAGAGAGTCTGTGCAACAGGAACTTAGCCTGTGCAATGAGGCTGGACTCAGAAATGCTGTAAATCTGCCCACCATGATTTTTTCTTTCTTTTCTTTTTTTTTTTTTTTTGGTAAAGACTTTATTTATGCATACATAACTGGAATACAGGCTAGAGGTGCAGGGGATGAGAGGATACACTAGAGACAGAATGGGGAGCAGAACAGCTGATCTACTGAAACATAGTGGGGAGCAGCAGGTGAGACAGGAGAGGTCTGCTGCACCATGTGGGTGGGGATCAAACTCCTGCTGCAGTGGCTGCATAGCTGATTCATAGTGCTGTGCGTTAACCACTGCTCCACCAGGGATGGCCCCACCATGGTTAGCCTTTGCCTGAGAGCAAAAAGGGGAGGAAATCTTATTTTCTTGACCACAAACTATCATGAAAGACCACAATCCATCATGGAAGTCCCGTCATGTCTAGCTAAAGTTGGTGAAAGATGATGGTCTCAGTGCCACAGACTTTTGCTGTTTTTACAAAGATTTAATAAATTTTCTTAAATGTTTCTTTATATGTTGTATCTTAAGTCAACTTTCACATTTTAAATGGATGTTTTAATATAGTCTTCACCACTAATGGGTGAGTGGCTGGAAAACAGGTCCTTAAAATAGTGCCTTTCTGGCCCTCCCTGGTGGTGCAGCGGGTTAAAGCACTGCACTGAGAATCTAAAGCCGCTTCCGCACGAGTTCGATTCCCACCTGCCCGGAAGGTGACCACATGGCGCGGCAGACCTCTCCTGACCCGCCTGCTGCTCCCCTCAGCAGTGTACTTCGTCGATCTGCCTGTCCTGCTCCCCACTCTGTCTCTGGTGAAGCCTTTCACTGCCCCTGAGCCTCTGGCCTGCACCCCAAGTTCTGTATGCACAAATAAATAAATCTTTAAAAAAAAAAAATAGTGCCTTTCTACTTCCATTCCAAAGGTGGAACCTGTTATTTTTAACTATATTTTCTTAATGCTGTAGTAAAGGTTACAATATGAACTTCATCATAGTTTGAAGATTTGTATTTATCTGGTAAAATACATAAACATACAACAGCTACAATACAGCTACTTCCCCCCAATTTCACGCCATAACTACACCTGCTATAATTCAACAATACTCTACTACTAGCAGAAAAAAAACATTAGCTTATATAAAAAAAAAGTCTCCAGTTATTTTTTTCCAGATTTGAGTTACTATCTGGTTTCACTTTCAACGTTTAGTATTTGAACATTTAAGGCTGACTGGAAAAACATTTTCTACTTGTCTGGGAATGCCTTTGTTTTGCAGGATTAGAAATTTTTTTACTACTTTAAATATGTCATTTATTGTCTTCTGATACCCATTTTTTTCTATGAGAAATCAACTGTTAGTTATGTATTGTTCCTCTCAAAATTTTCTCAATTGTTAGATTGTAAATTGTCTAGGTATCGCTTTCTTTGCATATATCCTGGGTTTTATTGAAATTCTTGATCTACAGATTAATCTTTTTCATCAATTTAAGAAGTCCTGGGTATTATTTTTCCAGTATTCCTTATAATTCTCTCACCCTCCAATTTCCATTACACTGGCATGCTTGATAGTGTCACAGATTTCAGTATGAAATTTGCTTATAAGGAAACGGAGCCCTCTTCTTTAGAAACATTTATACTTTTCTGATTTCATTTAATCTTTACAACTTAGTTCAAGTTATTTCTTTTAGAAACAGCAAAAAGAATAGAATTTATTTTTGTTATAGGAACTTAAGAAATGATAAAAATGAAACAATAATTAATGACTTGATGTGAAGTGAAAGAAAACTATTTCCAATGTAGAATAAGAAATATCTTCAAAAAGAGTGATCAAAAGAGAAGATGACGGTGCAATGCTAGTGTTTCTCTTTAGGAACAATGTTTATGAAACCTTAAATGTAATCTTTAATTACATTTATACATTTATATGCATTATAAAAAAGGGAACATTGTGCATGATACCGAGAGGGCTATACATGTGTCAGATAGTAAATACTTCTTGGCTACAGTTATCGTGATTTTAAAATTAAAGGGCAAACAGTACAGATAATTAATTCTTCACCACAATAAGGTAACAGCAGTGATTGTTTCTCCTCATATATTTAAAATCTTAATTTTCATTTAATTTTGTAGCAAATGTGTAATGAACAATGGATAGCATAGAAACAAGAAAGTGTCTTAAATCTAGTTATTTTGAGAGGCCTTTCTAATACACACAGTATCAACAATTTATTATAAAAACCTATATATACAATTGATCAAGTCTTTTAAAATATAATCAAAATGAAATGTGTAGAAAGAGACATTTGAAAGTCATAGCAGTTACTACTATTACAATATTTAATCATTTTTACAATAGATTTGCTGATCCATTTCAATTAAAATCATTAATAGAACCATCACATTTCTTGCTGAATTTCTTTTAGAGCGCAAACAAGTTGCTTAATTTTAATTTCCATTGCTTTTTTGTTCTTGAATGTTTCTTCCAGAAGTCCACGCATTTCTTCTTCAACTTGACAAACCTAAATCAACATACAAATTTTAAATTTCTAAAAATATTTTCAAATGCATTCTGAAAAAATACTCATTCTTATACACCTAGCTTGTGATATTCATTAAAAACAGATATAATAAAATATAACTTGTCCAATACTGAAAGAAAACAGTGTTTAAATTATAACCATTATAATATAATGTAAACATTATAATGTAAAAATTAATTATATAAAAATTAAATTATATATGACTCCCAATAGCAGTGCTATCAACATGACCATCCCTTTGTATCAGAGAAAGTACTGATACTCTCATTTTTTTCTTTAGAAAAGTAGAATTTCTTTTGATCTAAATTATCTATGTGGTATCTCAAAATTTTTTTTTATGATTATTACATTTAACTTTGGGTACCATTTCTCTAGCTCTCTGACACATACTTCCAATACCAATATTGGCAGGTGGTCCAAAGTTCAACAAAGTATTTCCCCTTCAATCAGCGTTTTCTTATGCTTTATTTAGCATTACCTAATGTACGTTGGTTAAACACTCAATAGATTTAAATAACTGAATTTGGAAGAAGTTGTACTTCTTTACTTACTGTGATTATTTCAAAGACCTTATTGCCACTTTTCCTAGACTTCCAACAGTAATGTGACTTAAACATATAGCACTCACTATAATTATACGGTGTATTACTTTGTCTTTCTGTTACTGAACTCTTCTGGTTGTGATGATTAAATCTCCAGTCTTACAGATACCTCAGCTTTTTATAACCACTTCAAAATCAGAGGAAAATATTAATTCACAATTGTCCTCTTACCTAGTGTCTATTAACAGGGATCACATTAGTATCACCCATGAAGTTTTAAAAAATAGTAAATGAAAGTGTTAGGGAGGAAGTACATGCATAGGGTATTATTAAAAAGTCACATAAGTGATACTGATGTTTGCATCTGATTTAGCATCACCCTACCCATACTCCTTTGTCAATGATGTTAAAATAATAAACTTAACAGCCTTGAATCCTAATTTATAATAAAACATTCCCTGAGGACTTTTTCCAAAGTAGTGATGGATAGTGATTGATTATATTTAACACATTCACATTCTTACCCTGCTTTTGACAGAATATATAGCAGGTACATACATATCAGGATCACAATAACAATTTTGGTTGGTCTCACTAGAATTATACACTTCAACTAATTTAAGTATTACCAGTATTTTGTCCTAGCTTTATGATAGCTTTGGGAATATTCTTCACATTTGTTTGATCATTCAGGTAAGCTGCCCCTTATATAAGTCTCAAAGATTCCATTTAGTTATTTATCAAAGTGAGTATTACTTACAGTACCTTTAAATTTGCATTATCAATATATTTCTGCTTTTCACTTGTCAGATGTATTATTTCAGCTTGATGAGCTTCAACAATTGTGTCAACTTTTTTTTTAAAGGCATCATTCATACAATGAAGCTTTTCTATTGCATCCCTTAAAAACAAAACAAAACCCACATATCTACCTGTGTGTCTAAAAATTAGGAATTACTTTCTTTTTATCTGCCATCTCTTCGTTCATATATTAATGGAAGCCTAACTCCACCAAGTAGCAAAAGGCTATTGTGGATAACTGAAGATATAAGTAGACAACTACCCAGCAGAATCATTTAATAACAGAATAGGATAGAATAACATCAGTGGAACTTTGTAATGCTTTTACTATCTGAAAGTTAGAGAACTCTGGCTTTCATTCATTTTGGATTTATGGATATAGTTTATAAGCACTTTTACAGATGACTACTACCAGTTGTCTTGTCTCCATGTATTTGCAATGTGGTAATAAATTGAGATGCATGTAACACACTTTAAGCTTATAAACATGTTGCTTGACTTCTTTGTGCTAACTTTGTTAATAAGCACATCAAAAAGAATTTTAGTGCTAAAAGTTGCTTAGAATTTCATTCCATTGTATATGAATAATTAAAAAAAATGAAGTCCATAATGACATAGGAAAATAATGGAATCTGTAACGACACATTTTCTGGCTTTGAAACAACCCATAGTAGTAGTGAACTGAAAGCTAGGCCCATAAATTAAAAGTCCTTCTTTTATTCCTAGTTGTAACAGTCATAAACTATACTCAAGTTTTTCAATATGAAACAGGATAATCCTATCTATACTGTCAATCTCACAAAATTATTAGTGAGTTCAAAAACCAAATTAAAGAAAAAAAATCAATTTATACATTATAAAAAAACTATACAAATTAAATGTTTTTATTAATATCCCTTTAAATTAAAAATTATATATACTAGTCTTAGTCATAAAGACGCTAATTTATAAACCAAGCCTTTATTATTTTGTTATTAATCACACAATAAACAATGCAATATAAGAAATTATGAAATTGTCAAGCTTTAAGGTTTTTATTAAGCTTAGGAATTACTATTTATAGGAAATGATTGTTTCCTTAAGGACCTAAAGGACTCCAGGTTACAAAGTTGTGACTGGCAAGAAAGAAAATCACAACAGGTTCCAAGCCAAGGTCTCTATATTGGTGCTTGGATGAAAGCAAAGCAGAACAGGTCAGTTAGCAGACAAACAAGAACTGCACTTATCAGTCAAAACTTTCTGTGAAGTATAATAGTAAAAGTTCTCATTTTATGTTGATGACAGGTTCTTGGAAATTGCATCCTTATGTGAAACAACATACAACGAAAGCAGGTCCTTGAATAAGGTAATTTTGTTCAATGTTGACTGGATTGTTTTTTCTCATCAAGGTTATAATGAAACGTTATTTGAGGACCTGTTGTATAAGAAATCAAATTCCAGGTTCTATTAGATTTGATATAAATCCTATCTGTATATGAGATTTGTGGGCTATTTAAATGCCACGTTATCTAGAATACTATATAGCCTGACACAAGAACTGAATATGCTATCTACTCTTCAAGGCAGCCAAATTCATAAACCATATTAACAAATCTAGTGATGTTAGTTTAAGAGATAAGACTTATTACCCCTAGAAATTTTTATAAAATCCATAAACAGTGGCATCCAAGTACATATTTTCCTCCCTTTAAAATCAATTCTTATTCTCAGTGTGTATAGGCCAATGCTATCTACATCTTCTCTAGTTTTCAGCTAACTGCCCCTGGTAAGTCAAGTGACTTCTTTCTCTATATTGTACATAGAATATCCAAATATATTACTAGCTGCTTTCATTCAAACATAGTTTGAAAACAATAACCAGTAATAACCAGTAATACAAACAATATTCATAGAGAAATTACTATTTGTCAGGCACTGTTTAAGTACTAAATAATTCGCACAAGCTTATATATACATAAAAATAGGTAAACACAACTTCATGTCAAAATTTCAGGTTGGCACTGTCTTCCATTTTATAAATGGGATGAAAATAAAGTACTTGGCAATAACTATGTCTAACATGTTTTTAGCTCTTTTCTTTTCTATGTATTTCACCTATCCTAATTCAATATTTACATTTAAAAATATCCCATCTATTTTAGTACTTAATGCTTACTTTTGTAGTTCAATACTTTTGTCTCTTTCTGCTTTAAGTTTCTTTTCCTTGTTTTCAAAATTTTCTTTTACTTCTTTTACTTGCATTTCAAGATGACTCAGAAGTTCTCCTTTGTCATGCCACTTCTGATTAAGTGCACTTGTAGGAAAAAGATAATTTTAAAGATAAAATTGGTTATATGAAATTGTTAAAACATATTTTACTTCCCAACAGGAAATACTATATAGTACCTGTAAGCTTTTCTAATTTCTTCAAGTTCTAATTCTTTTACTTTCAACTGCTGTTTTAGTTTTTCTTTTCTTTCATTGTGTCTTTGTAGTCTCTCAAGTATGTCATCCAGCTGTGAAGATTTTTCATCAAGTTGTTCTTGAGCACATTTTTGTATTTCACTGATCTTTTCTTGTAGTACTTTTATTTCTTCCTCTCTTTCCTGCAAACACTTCAAGAAAAAAAAATTAGTATTGGTATTAGTCCTACAAGTCTTATTTTCTAATTAATTAAAATATGGCTTAATGCTCCTCTCTGGTATTTAAAGGGTTAAGTCTCAGCACTGTGTATCTATCTTCTGCTTCTGCAGCACTAGTTGGATCCCATAATCCATATTTTAAAAATTATTTTATCTATGCATAGAACTGGGGTGCAGGCCAGAGGTTCAGGGCGTGAGAGGACTCACCAGAGACAGAGTGGGGAACCGAACATGTGGACTGACTGAAATACACTGCTGAGGGGAGCAGAAGACAAGACAGGAGAGGGATCAAACTTGTACACAGTGGCTCATGATAGCTTAATAGTGCTGAGGCTTAACTCCTTGCACCAAGAGTGGGCAATTTTGTGCATAGTAACAGGAATCCTCCAAAGCTATAAAAGAATCGTATAAAACAACCCTATTAAAAAAAGAACAATAAAAACAACATGTATCAGAGTCTTCTGATGCATGATAATGAAAAGTACCAATAAAGCATGGGGAGGAAAAAGAACTAAAAAAAAATTATTTTTGCTCTCCATGGTTAGAAGCTAACTATAGAATCTACTAAACTGAAAACAGAAATGCAAATTTTGCAGATTTGGTTGGAATTCTTTTTAGGTATTACCAATAATGAATTTACCACTGAAAGAAATTAGTAATAACTATATCTATACAATATGTAATTAGCTGGAAACACCATTACTGCTCATATTTTTGAGGCTGACAAAGTTTTTAAGTAAATGTAATAAAATATGAAAGAATTTGAAATTATGAAAGAATTTTGAGAACCTAAGTCTAAAATTGAATGTTTCCTGTTTTTCGATTCTACTGACATTCATTAGTAGTCATTTCCTTCAAAAATTGCTTAGAGATCGATAAGGAGTCAATGGCCTACTGTATAAGCAGTTATTTCAACAGCACCATACTAGATGGAAAGTATCAGCTGAGCTGTCTTGTGAAATTTAAATGAAAATCACAAATCTTTCTGCTTCATATTTGGCTTAATTCAAAGGAAAATATACTTGACTAGATTTTTATAATACAAAAAATATTTAATGCTACAAAATTTTATGAATAATTTTCAAGTCAGTTTGACATATATGATAGATATATTTGAAATTTTGGCAATACTGAAACTAAAATTTCAATTTAGTGAACACCAATATAATTGTTTAGAATTCAACATGAGTTCGATCCCCGCCTGTCCCGGCGGTGACCCACATGGCGCAGCAGACCTCTCCTGACCCACCTGCTGCTCCCCTCAGCAGTGTATTTTAGTACATCTGTCTGTTCTTGCTTGCCACTCTGAATCTGGTAAATCCTCTCACCCCCCACACCTCTGGCTTCTAACCTGGTTCCTGGCCTATACCCCAGTTCTGTATGCATAAATAAATAAATCTTTTTAAAAAATAAAAATTATTATTAAAGAAAAGGTACAAAGGTTTCCTGGGGAACTAGCATGAATCTTTATAACCTATTGATATACTTTTAAATATAGGATAGTAGATCTTGTAATTTTTAGAAGTGAGTTAGCAATAATGGAAGATACAATGCTTTAAGTGCATATATTAAACACAAAACATTAATTCTCTTATGATTCCTAACCCTTTATCAATAATATTTCCTGTAATCACAATACTTTTCATAAAGTTCTGAAAGGTAATTTCAAGCTAATAAATGCCACACACAACTTTTAAAAGCCAGGTATGAAGGAAACACTTGATAATCTAAACTTTATTACAGTTGAGAATCATTGAGACAAATATTTACTGGACATTTTGAGTCACTTAGTTTTAAACTTGTCATAGGTTCTTTTCCAAAAATGTAAAACTTACTTCTTTTAATTTTCCAATAGTTTCAGTTTGATCTTCAATGATTTTGCACTTAATTCTTAATGCATCATTATCACGCTCACTTGCCTTTCGCAAAGAATCATTCTCTCTACACAAGGTTTCGATTTCTGCCTCAAGTTTCCCACGATTTTGGGCTAGAGAAGATCCTAAGTAGCAAACATTGTCAGCAATAAACTTAAAAAGGCCTTGAGTAATTTGTACTTTAATGTATAACATTATAAAAACTGAATAAGAAAACATAAAGAGTAGATAGTAGACAGATATAGTAGACTATATGAAGAAAGAAACAGAACAAAAAGGCCCTCTTAAACAACTGTGGCTACTTAAAAACCTAAACCCACAAAGCAAGATTAAGTAATTTGGGATTGTAATACTTAAATGGTCATGTTTGGCATTCAAACAAATAAAATTAAAGATTTCTATATGGGATGGACTAACAAGCAGTGACTCATTAAGAAAAACATCTTTATTTTTAATTTATAATGTACTTATGAATGCCTATGTATATCTCTTGCTTTATACTGACTGAATGGAAAGGAAATGAGACAAGGGTTTAGCTAAACCTAAAATGGTTTTCATTCATATACTATTTCACCTTTCTCCATGCAGAGCAGGATAAAGTTACCAATGTTAGAAGAAGGAACCACTTTTAGGGAAAAAAATAAATGCTGCATATAGTACAAATAATTTAAAAGTACTGTACAAAATTTTTTTCAATGACTTACTCAGTTATAGAGATACATAGTTGCTTAGAAAAGTAACCAAATTATATTGGGAAGAAAACAAACAAAATTAGAACTATAATTTCATAATTGGTGTAATACCCTTTCCTTCCCAGTTCCTAAAAGATACTTCATTACTGTTGTGCTCACAACTGCCTATGTAGCTGTTCATATAAAGCGCCATCTTCTTTCTTGGGATAGCTAGGTAGAGTTAAGCCCTTCCTTTTCTCAGCAATACCGAGCTTTGTTGGTTTAGAAGAATAGGCTATTATTTCTTTGAAATTTTAATAATTTTACCCTGTAGTGCCAGTTCTTGTCCCCATACTTTTCTTTCTGTCCTTAAACCATAAATTAGTGATTCCTTGGCTGCTAGTTCAGAAATAAGTTGGACTTTTTCATGCTTGAGAAGTTCTATTTGAATACTTTTCTGCTTGTCATCTTCAATCAGAATTTCAAGGGTGTTGATTTGATTCTGTACACCCCCAAGAAACATGAAGAAAAAAAAAGCAATTATGTTTAAGTGCTTCTTTATTTTTTGCATTTTTAAGGAGAAAAATGTTATTTAATACAAGTAAATATTGCTAAATTTTCTATTTAAAAAGTTTCAGTTGTATTAATTAAGTCATCTCATATAAAGTAAATTTTAAAAGGCTAATCATTTAAACCCTCTGAATTACAGTCTAATATATTAAAAGAACTGACCGATGCAATACTCAAAATTTCTAATTAGAAATTTTTTTATTAGTACTCTAAAGGTCACATTTAGGAATAAAGTTCTTTTTGGGGCAAAATAGCAGTAATGGTTAAAACTGAGACAATAGCAACAAAGATATTAGAAATTATAGCGAGGTATATCTAAAAACCACTGCAACAGCACAATTAATATAAGTGAGTCACACTGTCTTACCTCAATTAGTATCACTGCCACAATTTTTGTTACACTATGGTGTAACTGGAACATTTTAGTAGACTTTTAAAGTTCACTTTTTACTTAATACTTTGTTGTTAGCACTACAATCTGTAAAACAATGGTTTAAGATTCTACTTACATTAATTTTGTTATTCATGTCAAGTGCATACTTAAAAGTTCTCAGTTGTATGATCCTAAATTATCATAACACACTTGAGAAAATATAAAAATTAAAAAGGAAATACAATGTCACAATATCTTACCTGTAAATTTGCTGATGTTTCTTGTTTCATTTTGGAAACCTCTGCAAGTTTTGTTTTTTGCTCTTTCACCATACATGTCAGATCTTTAATTAAAGAGGAAGACTCATTCTCTTTTCGTTGAGCCCAAATAAGAGCATGCTTGCTCTTTGCTAACTCAGTTGCAACATTTTCAAAACCATCTTTAACCTGTATTTCAAAATCGCATCATAAGTTAATTCCCTGAGTATTTAGAAGTTACCTGTTTCTGGAAACAGCTTACTTCTTTCCTTTTTTAGAATCCCAGTTTTAGCAAAAGAATGAAATTGTTGACAGAGACGATTTGTTTTAATCTATTAACTTCCAGCTAATGAAACAGAGACCCATGGAGGTTTATTATTTACCCACAATCACCCAGAAAGTTAGTGTCAGAACTAAATTCAGAATTCATTCACTCAATGAAGATTTACTGAGGACCAATCAGTTATATGCCAGCCATTAAGCACAGATTAAAACCTCTCCTTTTGCAAAGCTTATTTCTTAGTACACAGAGATGAAAAATATATTAAGCATAATAAATTATACATCATGGTAGATGATACTATATGCTTAGATTAAATAAAGCAGAGTCAGAGAACTCTGAAGATAACTATGCAGGAAGGTAAGAGAATTCTAGGAGTGAAATGTAGGGGAGGTAGCAGGAGATGAAATCAGAGGGGTAACAGAGGGCAAAACTGTGGAGAGTTTTAATAGAACTGAATAAAATGGAGACAGTGGAAGTATTTGAGCAGCGAAGTCGTATGATCCAACGACATTTAAAAAGAAATTTCTAGTTTCCATATGTTAAGCATAAACGGAAATGGGCCAAGTATGGAAGGGCTACTAAATAGGAATCTCTACGAGTAAGGGGAAGACTAAATGGCAATAATAGAGGCAGTGAGAAATAAGATGTGTTTTTAAAATAATGGCGAGTGAATCTAAGGAGTCATGGTAAGTGATTATTCTTAAGCAAATCTGTTAAGGAATCTGGAACATGAGATAAATAAGAGTCAATATTGTTATGATTTTGACCTCAGCACCAGAAGGAGGGAGTTAAATAGGAGCTTTGGGGTCAAGTCAGTGTTAAGATAAAAAGTAAGTGGTTTAGATACGTGTGGTGTCCAGGGTAGAGTTAGATACTATGTAAAATTATGTTAGTGGAGGAGTGTACCAGGAATTTAAGGAATGAAATTTGGGTATTTCAATAATGAAACAAATTGGAGAAAAATAACTGAACCTAACTAACAAAACTGACAAAAAAATAAAAAGCCAAGAAAATCAAGCGATGTAGTATAATTAAAGAAAAAGTCTAGAGAATGAGGACGAGTTCAACTCTGTCAGTGCTGCTCAAAAGTCAAATATGAGGCCTAAACTGACTGAAGCTTTCAGAGTTAATATTGCTGGTGGCCGTGACTAAAGCAACAAATATGAAAAGTCTGACTGAAGAAGGTTAACAGATGAGGGAAACTGAATTTAGAAAGTTCTATTGAAACTGGAGGCAGAGATACAGGTGGTAGACAGAGGGGAAAATGGGATCAAGACAGTTGCCTAAAGGTGAGAGCAATTAAAACAGGTTTGTAATGAAAGAAACATCCAATATAGAAGGAATATGTTGTGAGAGAATCTGACACAGAGCAATATCTTTAAGTAGTCGAGCGGAAATGGAATCCAACGTATATGTGGAGCACTGGCCTTAGGAGCAACATTATTCCTCTACAGAAAAAGTTGCCAACTTCTTTCTGTGGAGTGAGATAGTAAATAGGTTTTGTAAACCAGGCCATACATTGTGTTCTAAGTATTTAAATCTACTCCTGTAACATAAAAGCAGCACAGATAATATGTACACATGATTTACTACAATAAAACTTTATTTACAAAAATGGGCCCACCAGTTTTTAGTTTGTTGACCCCTGCTCTATAGCAATAGGAAAGAATAAGGTTTCCCAAGTCCTATTCCAGTGTTCTCTTTATAATCTCTTTTAGTTTTTGCAACACCATTGAAGAGTGGTATTATTTACATAAAGAAATAAAGGTGCTACCAAGAATTTCAATAATTTTCTTAAGACCATTTAGCCAGCATGTAAACAGAGCTAGAATGCTAAAAAGTATTCCTTTCATCACATCATATCTTGTTGATTTTGTTTTCAATAAAGAATTAGATGCCAATGCTTACATCTTTAAATCTCCTGGCTTCAACAGTTAAGGCAATACGGAATTCATTTTCTAAATCTGCATACTGTTGATTTAAGGCATCAATTTTTTCTTGGTATTCTTTTATTTCTTGCTCATGTTTTCTCTCTTCGTTAGCTATTTCTTTAGCTAGGGCATCCTGGAACTCAGCATTACTAATAAATTCCTTTGTCTGAAGTTCTTTCCTGGAATGAAAAACAAAAGTAACAGGATTCTATTCACTTGGGGAAAAAAAACTTTAAATAATTTAAAATATATTATATACCTATTACTAATTTGAGACCAGCTTCTCAAATACAAACAAAGAAACTGGGCATAGGAAGGTAGATAAAGAAGATAAGCCTTAGCTGATTGTACATTCAGTAGTGATGGGGATAGAGGAATTTGCCAAATTGTTACTTTATTGAGATAGTTCAGAAATCATTCTATGATGTCTAAAATTCTTGACATGCATTTGTAGAAGTAAAGTTTCAGTATCTTCTACTTGGCTGAATCTTTAACTTAGAATAAATACAGTCCTATAGGTACTGGTGATTACTTAAAAAAACAAAGTCAGGCCCTCCCTGGTGGCGCAGCTGAACTAAGAAGCTAAAGCCACTTCTGCATGAGTTCGATCCCTGCCTGCCCCGGAGGAAATCCACATGGCGTGGCAGACCTCTCCTGACCTGCCCGCTGCTCCCCTCAGCAGTGCACTTCATTGATCTGCCTGCTCTGCTCCCCACTCTGTCTCTGGTGAATTCTCTCACCCTCCGCATCTCTGGCCTGTACCCCAGTTCTGTATGAATAAATAAATCTTTAAAACAAAAACAAAAAACAAAGTCAGTTAAGTGTGACACAACATCTTTTTGACATAGGCCCAGTTTTTTTAATTTTTTATTTTATTTTATTGCTGTGAGATTTTATTTACTTATTTATTCATACAAGAACTGGGGTATAGGCCAGAGGTGCAGGGGAAAAGAGGATTCACCAGAGACAGAGTGGGGAGCAGAACAGGCAGATCTACTGAAATACACTCCTGAAGGGGGCAGTGGATGAGGCAGAAGAGGTCTGCTGCACCATGTGGGTCACCTCCCTGGCAAGAGATTGAACTTGTGCTGAAGTGGCTGGTTAAATCTTGACAGCACTAAGACTTAATCCCTGCTCCACTTGGGAAGTAAGGCCAGTTTTTTGAATGCGAGCTTACTCTTTTAGAATTCATCAATATTTTTCTTGAATAAATCAAACCCAAAATACAAGTGGACCATTTCTTGGAAGGTATTTGTAAAGGAAATTAATCATAAATTCTAGATTTTTATTATCATTTTCCTCCCATTTTTATAGTTGTTCTGGCCCCATATAAGAAAACCCTCTCCAAAGCATCAAAATTAACTTATACACTAAAAATTTTATTTATGTCATGGAAAAACAAAACAAGTTTGGAAAAAACACAATTAACCCATTGACAATCACACAATTCTACCACAGGGCTGTAAGTAGACTAGCTAAACGTGTTCAAATACTGTAGACTGTAGAACAAGTATTGGTAATCTATAGCCCAACTACAGCCAACTTTAGCCAAATCTGGCCTACTGTCCTTCTTTTAATGGAAATAAACTTTTATCCAAACACAACTGTGCTGCTTTCTTACACATTCTCTATCACCACTTCTGTGCTTTTAATAAAGGAATAGCTAGGTATGACCTGCAAAAACTGAACTGCTTTCAGCTTGTTCTTCTAGTTTATGGAATAGAATATATTTCACATATTCTATATCGAATATTGATTAATTTAATAAGTAGTTACTTGAGGCCAATTAAAATAGTTATCTTTATAATACAATGATCAACTTTTGGTCGGTGGAGAAATCCAAAAAGAATTCAGCATTCTAAATGTATACCATAATAAATAAAGACAACTATTGGTTTTAAATTGTTCTTACTGCAAAATTCTAATTCTAGCACATACATAAAGAGTCCATGAATAAATCTGTCAGACTTCACCACTATACAGTTTCAGGTATGGGGCAAAAGGCAGAGTCAATAGCTTTCATTTCCTTTTCAAAAACAATTATTTTTCTGATCCATTTTTCACTTACCTGTGTTCTTGTTCTTTCACTGCAAGAAGTTCATGAAGTTGTTGCACTTGTTCTTTTTCGTGATGAAGGGAAGTTCTAAGTAAGCTTATTTCTCTATCAGCAGCTGCCGCTTTTAGTTCTACCTCTTGAATAAGTCTCATCTGAGTAAAATACACACAATTAGAGCACTTAGATAATCACCTCTCTTGCTAAAATTAATGACAATTTCCCAAAGAAAGGTTCCTGCTGAATAACAGACCTACTATCTAAGCACCCAGAGATTTCTTTCTTATCACACAGGCCTAGCAACCTGCCAGATTGCCACTAACTTCCCTTATAATTCTTTATGAGTGCCAGTTCTCTTAATTCTGAAATAATTCTACAGGTTAAACTACTGTTACATTTAAATAATTTTTGCACAAAGCCTAACATCATCCTGTTTCCTATATAACAGGACATTAGTAATTCGTTTTAGAACAGAAACTAAGAATTTGTGTTAGGTCATGTGGCTGATAGACAATCAAGATAAGCAAATACCTGAGCCGCTTGCTGTTGCCCTTTTTGCCTCTCCATTTTTTCTAATGCTTTTTCCAGGGTTCTTAAATGTGTTATGTGCTCATCTTGTTGCTCTCTTGCTTTAATCAATTCAATAGTTAGTTTTTTAACTTCATTCTGAAGTTTGTGAACTATAATTTCAAGTTGTACTTTAGAACTTCTCTCTTTAAAAATAATTTCCTTTAGCCTAAAGCAGAAATCAAATGTGGCTTAAATAATAGTATCCATACAAAGAGGATTAAAATTGTACTCAACATTAAAAATTACAGTGGAGAGGAAAAGATGAATATTTTATCATGTTAAAAAAAAAGGCCTGAAAAACAGTCTAATATACCTAGCTCCCATTCCTGAAACTAATGTTGTGCTACAAAGGAAAATACTCTACATAAGTTAATGAAACTTATGTGAAGTGTACAATGCAAAACAAACCTTTATTGAAGACCTAATTTATTTCAGGCATTGTGTTAGACATGGGATGGGATTAGAAAGCAAACAAGATGAGGAAGATACAGCCTGTATCTTTACAAGGAGCTCAGTATCTATTAAAAGGAACAGAGAAGAATATATTTATAATATTTTGTGAGGGAAGTGATCTGTGAACAAACACCTGGAAGTTCGACTTTTCTTCCCCAAATATTGAGTATTGATTCCAATTTTGTATAAATTAGAGGCCCCAAAACTCTTTCACTAATTAAGAAAAATGGAGAATGTATTGACCCAATAAATAATTCAGAGATGGGGAGGTGCTACACTGAAGGACCACTGAAATCAAAAACATGATCATCGTCAACAGTCTAATTCCTCCAAGCTGGTTTCAATCTTTCTTCCTTATATTGTATGGAGGGGTCAGTAGAAGGCTACAACAGCTCATAGTCTAACAGCACTGAGAACCAAAAAGAAAAGTTTAATTTTTTTCTAGCTCAACATAGAAGAGATCTAGGAAAGGTTCTGATTAGTCCAATTTGGTTCACATGCCCAGTCCATGCAGCATTCACTGTGGCCATAGGCTAAGACATGATGTTCACCCAGTCTGGGTCAGGTGCTCCGCTCTCAATCAATTATTATAGGCAGAGAATTGGTTGATAATAGAATACAAGTCTAGTGTTTGGAAAAGAGGAAGTGGGAGGTAAAAAATACCTACTAAGATATTCTTAGTAGATAATTAGATGAAGGGATCTGCTTATCAGGAGCCCTAAATAATGAAAGTTTGGGCTTACAGGAAAGGTATTAGAAACATAGCAGAGAAGATTATTTTTTGAGATAATATGCACTCATGATACAAAGCCACCAGACCCTGTGTTAAGTATGAGGAATACAGAGTCCCTACTAAGCCACATAAGGGACTATAAGGACCTAACCCTAAACAAACATATGGCGTACAAATAAAAACAAGACCAGAGAGGCTCTTCCTGGTGCTGAGCGGGCTAAAGCGCAGCATTGCAAGCAAGCAGCAGCCACTTCAGTGTGCGTTCAATCCTCTGCCCCGGAGGTGACCACATGTAGCAGCAACCTCTCCCGGCTCTCCTCAGCCGTGTACTTTGTCAATCTGCCTGTTTCCCACAGTCTATGGTGAATCCACCCACTGCCCCTGTACCTCTGGCCTGTACCCCAGTTGTGTATATATAAATAAATAACTCTTAAAAAGAAAACAAGACCAGAGAAAACAAAAGCTGAATTTTCAAGAGAATCATGCCTATTTAATGTGGGAAATGTGGCAGATGATAGAGAAGTTAAGGAAGGTTAAAGACAAGATTTCATCTAAATGAAATCTGGCTAACAGTCTCAGACTTAACTTTCCCTAATATGCTACTAAATAAGACCTACGAAAATTCAAACATATAACTAAAAAGAGATACATAAAGCTAAAATCTAGGAGAAATTTCAACTATAAGTCAAAAGACTAAGTTAAAATAGAAAACAATTCCTAAAAAACTCATGCTTTGGGGCCCTCCCTGGTGGCGCAGCGGGTTAAAGCACAGCACTGAGAATCTAAAGCCGCTTCCACATGAGTTCGATTCCCGCCTGCCCCGGAGGTGACCACATGGTGTGGCAGACCTCTCCTGACCCACCCGCTGCTCCCCTCAGCAGTGTACTTCGTTGATCTGCCTGTTCCGTTCCCCACTGTCTCTCGTGAAGCCTCTCACCACCCCTGAGCCTCTGGCCTGTACCAGTTCTGTATGCACAAATAAACAAATCTTCATAAAAAAAAAAAGAAAAAATACTGGATGTTTTCACTCATAGCAGGAGTATAAAGGACCAGGGGAGAAAATAATAATAATGAACAACTATATACCAGAGACATTTTGTGGGGGTAGGGTGGGGAACGGGATCAAAAATGGGGTGATGGCATACGGGTGATTTGGTGATGGGAAGCCCACGGGGACTACAGCCGAGATGGAAAAAGGCACAAAATATGTAAAAATAAATTATTATATTATTTTAAAAAAATGCATCTTTCTGAAGGAAAAAAAGAGATGTAGCTGAAGAAACAAGCAAAAAAGAATATATATCCTTTCTTCCACATCTTAAAAATCCAGGCTTTTGTAATCTAGTATTAAACTATGTTGGCTCTTGAACGCCCAATGCAAATAAAAGTGCTATATTTTTGAGGTAATCAGAGGACTATCCTGTTTCTTTGCCCTGTCTGACATCTTTTTTTTTTTTTTTTTAAAGATTTATTTATTTATTTGTGCATACAGAACTGGGGTACAGGTCAGAGGCTCAGGGGCGGTGAGAGGCTTCACCAGAGACAGAGTGGGGAGCAGAACAGGCAGATCGACTAAGTACACTGCTGAGGGGAGCAGCGGGCGGGTCAGGAGAGGTCTGGCTCGCCATGTGGTCTCCTCCCGGGCAGGAGGCAGGCGGGGATAGAACTCATGCGGAAGTGGCTTCAGATTCTCAGTGCTGTGCTTTAACCCGCTGCGCCACCAGGGAGGGCCCTGTCTGACATCTTATTCTATCAGGCAATAGTAGTTCCCAAAATAATTAAGGCAGGAAGTTGGTAGGTGGTGATGGCTTTGAAAGACTAGTAGTAGCAAAATGCCATAGAACTTGCATAGTTGTAGAGGTTCTCTTAGAGCACATGGGTACTGTAATTTTCCTTCTATTTATTTCATAAGTACAAAGTATGATAGAATCAGGTAGTGGAAGATAGAAAATACATTAGTACCAAAAAACTTTACTTGTTAAAAACTGAAAAGGACCCAGGAATTGGACTGGAAGCTGGTATGAAAACTTATTTGTAAATAAAGATTGCAGAAGGTGAATTAGCTGCTGTATAATTAGATAGTAAGTGGAACCAAGAGCAACTTCCCCAAACCTATTTGGTGGCAAATATCAACAGAATCCAAGCCCTCATTTAAGGACTAGAAGAGGAAAAATCAATAGAACTATATTAAAATACAAAAAAAATGTAATTCTTTTAGGAAAATATAACTTTATGGAATGCATAATATGCAAAAACAGAAACATTAGAATTAAGAAACGGGCCAAATTCATTACAGAGAAGAATACACAACACAGACTGAATAAGAGTGAGTCTAAAAAAAGGTTGCCACTTCCATCCTTTACAGAAACCAAAGTGAAAGTATGTCAATCCCTGCTCAAGTCTTCTGTTTTTCTTCACTTATAATTCTTATTTAAAAGATATGGGCCCTCCCTGATGGTGCAGTGCGTTAAAGCACTGCACTAAGAAGCTAAAGCCACTTCCGCATGAGTTTGATCCCCGCCTGCCCCGGAGGTGATCCATGTGGTGTGGCAGACCTCTCCTGATGCGCCCGCTGCTCCCCTCAGCAGTGTACTTCATCTATCTGTCAGTTCTGCTCCCCGCTCTGTGTGTAGTGAATCCTCTCACTGTCCCTGCACCTCTGACCTCTGGCCTGTACCCCAGTTCTTTATGCATAAATAAGTAATTCTTTAAAAAAAAAGATATGACCCAGCCTGAGGGCTCAAATAAATATACCCTCTACTTACATAACAAACTAATATTGCATTAAGTCTTCAAACTAAAACGACATATACTATTTTTGATTATCCTCCAGCTTTTTGCAAAGGTTGTTCTATTCCAATTTCAATATTAACTATCTAAGTTTATAGAATTTTCCCTTACCTGTCAGTTGTAATTAGAGCCAGGCTATGAATATCATTTTTCTCATTTGCATGTTTATGCAATTCATCAATATAGTCCATGAGTTTCTTTTCAGCTTGTTCAGCTTTCCATCTCTTTTCTCTCTCTTGGTCTAGTTGTTCAACAAGTGCCTGAAAGAAAGCAACAGTGCTATGTGAAATTGAAAACGTTACCTAACTTTTGATAGGCTCAATTTTCTCATTTATAATATGGCAATAACAGTATATAATTCAAAGGGCTGTAGCTAGAATTTAACAAATTATTGGAAGTAGGGCATATAGAACTGTGTAGAACAATGCCTGGCACATATTGATCACTTAGTAAATGTCAGCTGCTATTTTTGTTGTCATAATGATAATTATTACTGTTTTCCTGAAGCATTTATTTGAGAAGACCAATAGATTTCCTTAGATATTCCAAAGTTAGGAAACACCGTTTTAAGAAATAAGCCAGAAGTGAGAAATTCAGTGTGTTTCCACTCCCACAGCATGTAATAAATGATTTTATGTAAATAAACATGTAATTTCAATTCTTTAAAAAATGAATACTATAAGGAAATCTGGAAATCAAGAAGGGGAAAAACTCAACCTATTATCCCAATAAAAGCAACATAATTTTTTGCTCATAAAACAGGCATAAATTCTCTTGGGCTAACTTTGTATTTAAAAACAACATTATTTACATTCCTTTTTTCTTAATCTCCTAATCGTACCCGATACGTGTTGTCTTCTGAGTTACTTCTCTCTACTTTAATTATTTCATTCTTTGGCACTTCTGGTTCTTCTAATATATTACTGCTTGTTAAAGATGATCTTACATACACATCTTTGAAGAAAGGTGGTTTCATTTTACGATTATAACTGCAAAGAATAAAATAGAAGAAGTAACCCAAAGAAACAAATATTTATACTTTTCATAACTTAGGTAAGGACCACCATCATAAAGGGGTTTATTATGCAAATTGTATGAATATAATTACCAAATCTAAGCCAGCAATGCTTAAAAATCAAATCTTCAACTTTGGAAAAGAAAAATATCCCAATAAGATAACTTTAAGGAAGAAACCAGCAGTATTAATTTCTATCTGTGTACCTTATTTGAATTTCTAAAATTAAAACAAGTACCTTATAAAGGTGTTGCTATTTTTACCGTGGTGCCTAATAGACTGAATAGTTCTGTGGTAACATGGAATTTTTGATCTTCGAGGAATTTTTCTATTGCATTCTCTTCTGATTCCAAAGTCACTTTCAGAAGTCACATCTGTACAGTCCATTTTTGGTTTAAGGTCTTTCTCAGGAACATTATCTATTAAAGAATTAGAAGTCTAGAATAAAAAAAAAAGTTTGGTAAATGCTTCAGTATAAGAATAAAACCCAAAATTTCTTAACCTGTGTGACTTTTTACAAGATCAAAGGTTTATAAACTAAGAATGCTTATAACTAAAGATGCAATTCAGTTTCTGGGTATGAAGAAGTACGCTTTTATGAGACTGACTCTCTTTAAGGTAACAATTATAAATGCTGGGGATGGTGGGCAGGAGGCGGTAGAAACACAACAACATACAAAAACTATTTGGAGACCCTAGAATTTGAAAGTTAGAAAAATGACCAGAATGAGGTGTTTTTGCTTTTGTGGTTTTCAGCCTGACGACATATTACAACAGCACTCAAAGGATGTCTTAAGACAGGTTAAAAACAAAGAAAACAAAACAAAAAACTGAATTTGGGGCTGAAGAATCAGAGAACAGTATGGAGCAGACTGTCAGAAACCCAGCACTGTGTCTAAGAAATGAACTTCTGCTATTGAAGCTTAAGCTCAAGCAAGTCAAATGCTTGCTGCAAAAAGATTATTGATACCTTCTTCATAATTCTGTGTGTGTGTGGTTGCTCTTACAAAGTGTACACTCTTCAGTACACTCTTTCAAAGTGTACTAATAGTAAAATGTATGTAAAATGCTTACATCCATTGTCACTGACAACCAAAGAATACTGTAGATTATCCAAACGAAGTATTCAGAATCAACAGGATAAAATCCAAAATAATCAGGAAAATACAACCTATTCTCAAGAAGATAGTCAATGGAGACCTAAGAGGACCCAAATGTTCAAATGAGCAAACAAGAATTATTATATTAGTGATTATGCCCAGTGATATAGGTTAACATAGGTCAAGTGGATATTAATCAATATAAAGAACACAGAGGAAAATAAAGTTGGTAAGATGTATAGAGCTCCAAGAAATCATGGGGCAATACTGAAAGGTGTTAGTGGAACCTGAAAAGAAAAGAAATAATGGAATAGAAAAATGTTAAATGATGCCCAAAAAAATCTCAAATTGGGTAAAGATACAAAAATATAGATTTTAAAATCTCAGAGAAAGCGTAAGCAGGACTCATGGGCAGAAAATCATCTATAAGCACAATGTAACCAGACTGATGAAAAGCAGAAGTAAAGACAAATTCTTGAAAGGAGCCAAACCAAACCGACTTATATTCAGGAAATCAAGAATTTTTAATTGTTAGTTGATTTTGCATTCAAAGCTATGGAGGCTCTAGGAGATAGTACTAAAAGAAAAAATGATGTTCTAGAATTCTCAATCCAGCAAAAATATCCTTCAAGAAGACAAAATGAAGAGAATTTGCTGTTCTCAGATACGTACTTCAAGACAGGCAAAAGGATGTGCAAGAGCAAGTCCTGACTAAAGAAAATGAGGATCAGATAGAAACTAGAGTCTTTGAAGCAATGAAAGTACTGCACCATATACAGGCAAATACAAATAACTTTCACATTTTTTTACTCTTAATTTCTTTAAAGCCACATTCAAACACTGTCTTGTGGAGTTCAAATACATCCAAATGAAATACATGACGGATATATAAGAATTTTACATACATTTTATTTTCAGTACACTTTGAAAAGTTATTTTTAGAGTAACCACATGCACACACAAAGAAGTATGAATAAGGTACCAATAAGTAAGTAATGCTGAATTCTAAAAATATATGTAACAGAAATAGGAAAGTTGAAAAAATGAACCAAAAAAGAGCAAAAACAAACAATAAAATGGTATATCTAAATCTTTTTCAATGGGAAGTAATCCTCCAAAAGCTAAACAGAGAATTATAATGTTGTCTAGAAACTTCACTCCTAAACTTCACTCCTAAATATATAGCCATGGGAAATAAAACTTAAGTCTGCACAAAAGCCTACATATGAATGTTCACAGCACCATTACTCACTGTAGCCAGTAAGTGGAAGTTACCTAAATGTTCATCAAACAACAGGTACATAAAATCTGGCATACTCATATAACGGACTACTATTTGATAAAACTAAAGGAAGCACTGATACATGCTACAAATGTATGAAACTTAAACATATACTAATTGAAAGAAGCTGGTCACAAAGACCCATGCATACTGTAAGACTATTTACATGACATTTCTGGGGTAGGCAAGACCATAAAGAAAACAGATTAGTAACTGCCTAGGGCTGGAGGGATATGATAATAACTACTAATACAAGCCAATGAATTATGTGTCAAATGAATTATAGCTTAAAAAAGGCAATGCAGGGCCCTCCCTGGTGGCGCAGTGGGTTAAAGCGCTGCACTAGGAAGCTTAAGCCACTTCCACATGAGTTCGATCCCCGCCTGCCCTGGAGGTGACCACATAGCGTGGCAGACCTCTCCTGACCCGCTCGCTGCTCCCCTCAGCAGTGTACTTCGTCGATCTGCCTGTTCTGCTCCCCACTCTGACCCTGGTGAATCCTCTCACCCTCCGCATCTCTGGCCTGTACCCCAGTTCTGTATGAATGAATAAATAAATCTTAAAAAAAAAAATAAATGCAATGCATTCTGGGAAGTGTGGTGTTTAACAAACAACTGTCACTGCGGATCAAACCAAGTACATTAGTGCCGGAGCACCGGCATCAAAAACTCAAATAGCAACTAATTCTTGGATTTGTATACATCCTCAGAACTCAAAGAACCAGCAGCAGAGGTAAAAAGGGATTACTACCTCAAAATAGAGACTAACTTGGTGGACATCTATTGTAAGCAGAAATTGAAGGAGGAACTATAGCAACTAAATCAATAGCAACTAAGTCAATTTACTATTCAGCTAAGTTCTAAAAATGGTCTTTGACCACTAACCAGCTAAGAGAGCAAAAGTAATTCACATATTCTTTACAATTAATAAATACTTGAATTCTCAGTTTACTTAAGATTGAAATAAAAGATGGGTACATAGAAATACTGTGAAGTAGAGCAAAACAACAGAGTTATAAAATAAAGACTTGGTGGTCACCAAGGAAAACAAGTGAAAAAAAAAAAACAGTTACACCTTTACTTACCTCTACTATAACAGAATACTATAAAGGAAAAAAAATACATACACACCGACCTGTTAAATACAGGTTGTTTTTGGTTTAATAAGCTTGTACATAGCTTTAATTTTGTAGTTTCTTAATAACTTTTTCTTCAACAAACATTGCTTAGAAAAACAGGAAAAATAGTTACATCACTGAGAAGCTGTAAAATTTGATCATATAATTTTCAAGTTTCACCTCATTCTGAAAACTGTCTTCATGATTAACTTTCTCTGGTTCAGAAGATGGACACACAGATACAAAAGATGTCAAGTCAGGCTCTGTCTGTGCAGGTGTGAACTGATCCAAAGGCGCAATCTCATCCATGGGTGGTGTTACCACTGGTATACTGTCAATGATCTGCAGCACAGACATAAACCAAAATCCTTTAAATTTACATTTACCTATTAATTAAAATTTGAAGGTGTCATTTATATTAGGGAAAAAAAATACATACCTCATCTTCACTTATATTTAGGGGAGAATTACAAGAAATTAAATTATCCAAAAGACTTAAGCACTGTAGACGTGAATTCATTTCTGACAAATTCACTGGTTCACCAAATATGTTCTTGCAATCTAAGATTCTAAGCTGTGGCAAAGTCTGGAGAATAACGGCTCTGTACCCTTGGAAAACAAATTATTCAAAATGAAATTCACGTTAAAAAAAGAAAAGGTTAATTATTTATAGAATAGTCCAGATTTATTTATTTAGCTACCAGATATATAATCCAAATGATAACATTAGTTTTGGATAAGCTTGTAATTCCTAGGTTCCCCAACCCTCCTGGTGGTCAGAAATTTAAAATTATCACCTCTCAATTTATCTTTTCATAAAATTCCTTTAGAACTATAAGTGTTGATTATTCTAGAAAGGAAGCTAAACATTATTTATTTCAAATATGACTAGAATAATATAAATAAGGATGTAGACAATAACCACAGTCAGATTTTAGCTAGTGAGGCCTCAATGATTAGTAAATTAAACATTACTTTCCTCTTTGAAAAAGATGAAGTCAGGCAATCTATTAAGTATTCAAGAACATGTTTATTTTTCCTAATCTGGCAAATTAACATTAATTTGGGACTTATGCTAACAGAATCACTTTCATTTTGCTTAACTGTAATATTAAAACCACGTCTTTCTAACAAAATAAGATAGTTGGAAGAATTCAAAAGAAAGAATATGGGAAGTTAATGTATGAAATTTTGAGGGGGAAAAAGTAATTTTAGTAATGAGTATCCTTTCTATTCTGGGGAAAGGGAACTATGTTGAAATACCTTAAGAAAGACAGCAAAAACAAAAGTCATACTATAGGAATTAGTTCTCAATAAATAAATAAGTAAATAAATAAATCTAAGTAGAGAAAAGTAAGATTTTCTTCTGAGAAGAGTTTCTTCAGAAAACTAAAATTTGCGATAATGTTTAAGGAAACTATCATTACATGGTCTTTCATTTCAAATCTATTCTTCTGTGAAAATTATTAAAACAAATTTTCTTTCTGGGGAAAACCTGTCCATAGTTGGATATTTACAACAGAATGGAGCCTCTGTTGTAAACTTCTAACCAAGCTGATTATCTTTAGAATGTAAAGATAGAAACCAGGCTATTCTACATGTGTGTTCTACTGATTTGCTCAATAAATTCTGGTCTGCTTTATCTTTGTCAAGTTTAAAGATTCTGAATTAGATCAAAGGTCACTCCAGCAGCAGCATCTATATATATTAAGTTTTCTTCTTTAAAAGTTGATTTCTTGATAATTTCATACATTCAAATAGTATAAAATACAAACTATACGTAACAAAAAGTCTTCCTATCTTCTCAGGTACCCATCTATATTTCCTGATTTGAGCTACATTAATAATGGAGTTATGTTTTGTTATCTCCTTAGATATATTATGTACATACATAGCAAATAACATACATAATTAATTACCTTTTCATACAAGTAGTAGCCCTCTATGTGCAAAGTTTTGCAACCTGCTTGCTTTTCTTTTTCTTAACAGTGTGTCTTGGAGATCCTGGTATATCAGTAGCTAAAGAGATTCTACATATTTTTCATGGCCATGTAGCATAAGAATATATCAAAATGGCATAAATTAATTTTGAGGCATTCACTTATCAACTACAGAACTATCTATATAGTACTTATCTATACACCCAGTGCTGTTATTTTATTAGGAATTTAGGTCTTTTCAAAATAATTTATTTGCTATGATGTTTTCCAAATACATAATAAAAAACTGCAAAGCTTAAGACAAACAAGTAGTTACTGATACCAATTGCAGGAAATAAATATTAATTATTACAAAAAAGTACTAAATTAATTATCCATACCTGGTAAACGACAGACAGGATTATCCTCTCCATTTTTATCCAAAATAAGATGAGTTAAGAAGTGTAATCCTACCGTACACTGAAGTAAGTGATGGATGCTATCTATAAAATTACTATGTAGATCAATATACCTAAGTTTATATTTAATCCCATGAAGGGGAATCAAACCTGCAATAGAAAAAAAATTTTCATTGCTAAAGTAGTAATTTTCCCAATAACTTTATTATGGTAGAAGACAAGCATTAAAACCTTGCTGTGAAGAGCTTCATCTAACAAGTAGGGTACAGGCAACATATTGTTTTGAAGAGACACATGTTTGACATCTCTTAGATGTTAGTCTAGAGTTTCCTAGATTCTGGTTAAAACATTATTCTCCCCAATAGGTTCTTTTTAAAAAAAAAAAAAAAAAAGATTTATTTATTATACATACAGAGCTGGGGTACAGGCCAGAGGTGCAGGGTTGGTTCTGTCTCTGATTAACCACAGACAGAGTGGGGAGCAGAACAGGCTAACTGATGAAGTACACTGCTAAGGGGAGCAGCAGGCAGGTCAAAAGAGGTGTGCCACACCATGTGGGTCACCGCCAGGGCGGGATCGAACTCATGCTAAAGTGGCTTTTGCTTCTTAGTGCTGTGCTTTAACCCACTGTACCACCAGGGAAGAACCCCTATAGGTAGGTTCTTTTTATAAAAGTTTTTTGTGCTATGGATCACCTAGTTTTTACATCTGTTTTTTACTCAGGTTCAGCTTTAACACCAACAAAAAGAATTATGACAAAAGCACACCTCTAGATGAGATCTGATGTAAAATTTTTGATTATTATTCAGTTTTTTCAACATGTGGAGCTCAAGAATAAAGTCTCATTACATGTGGCAAACACTTAGCATCATAAAAAAATGAATATGTCTACTTACCACTAAGATCATTTATGTGGTTATAAGATAAATTCAGGCTAGTCAGATTAACCAGTGCTTCAAGTCCTAAAATTAGGATTCAAACAATCAATTACAGTTACAAAGTGATAAATACTACAATATTACATGAAACTGTTTTGAAGTAAATCTACAGTTCTGATAATAAATGAATTTTATGGGTATTTCGTGAAATACTTTCAAAAGGTGATTTAAGTAAATCACCTTCCTTATACAACCTATTAAATGATAATCAGTTACAAACCTTCTATTCTTGTAATCAAATTGCAGGACAAATTCAAAGTACATAGTTTAGTCAGTGTGTTGAGCCCTTCAATTTGACTTATTTGGTTAGATGATAGATCTAAATGTCTCAAATTCCAAATATGATCAATGGCGTTGATCTTAGAGATATTATTGCAATGAAGATTGATGGCATGAAGGGTTGAACTTAAAGATAACTCTGATATGCTACAAAAGAAAATATTATCAAAAACAAATTAAAAATGGATTTTAAAATCATGGCCAAATAATTAAAAATGAACAAAAAAACCATATATATGATAAGTATGTGTTCCATTCACTGTATGATGCAATCCTTCTGGTAGCTTTGATATGTCTCAAAGGTACAGTGCTTCTTACCAGTAACCAGTATCTTGCTTCCTTTCATAAACAAGAAATCCGCTTAACTGAGGCAAGATCCCTGGACATTTCTAGCTTCTGTATAAATACAAAGTCATAAGCATGCTGTAATCGTAAGGTTCTCAGTTTCTTCAGCTCATTTAATCTTCACAGTTCTAAGCAGTAACATTAAGATACAGAACTTCACATAAGTTAAATAATTTACCAAGTTCCCATATTTATTACCTAACAGAACCAGTATAAATCCAGATCTGACACTGTAGCTTTTCAGTAACACAAAGTTCAGAGGTGCAGGAAGAGGTACAGTTCAGGTCTCGTACACAACGGCATGTGCATCTGTTCCACACTCTGTAGCAACTATCATAAAGCTATTAGGGCTTCTAACCCCAGCAGCAGGGAGATGAGAGTGTAGCAATAGGCAGTAAAGGGAAAACAGGAATTCAGATCTGCTTCCAAATCAGCATTAAGACCCTCAAATTTAAAATAAGAATAAAAGAAACCCACAAAATACAAAAACACCTTGAAATGTGTCATAAAGTCATCCAGCTCATCCCTTTCTCTTGAAACTGAAGCACTTAATAATCCTGGGCAGATAAAAAAAAAAGCATTTTTAAATATCAAACTAGCAATCTCTTAATGTGACTGAAACATTCCCAATTATCTAGTTTCTGTTACTTATCTGGTGATCATTTAGTGCCGGACCTTATGGTATTAAAGCATGCCCTTAATGACAGTCATTTATTTTCTGAGACATCTACTCCTGGAAATTAATGTGCAAATAATGTGGAATATTCTCAAGTAGGGTGGAATTAGAACTTAATCTCTCATCAACTGCATGAAGTTGGAAGTTATTTAGCTCCTCTGAGTCCCAGAGTTGTCACTTGTAAAATGAATACCTTGCAGAGTTGTCTGGAGGATTAATGACAGCATATATACATAGACATATATGACATTCATCCAGTAAGTGACAGCTATTCTTAAATACACATGCAAATGTTCTTGGAAAAACATCCTGGGGTATTGTGACTCACGATGCAGAGCTTTAATTCTCAGCAGTAAGGTTCGCATAATTTTTCTGTACAAAAGCAGAAAAATCCACTAAGAAATACACTGCCTGGAGCTCCTTATGGCTATTGATAGTGTAACTGCAGAAATGGTGAGACTGAAAAAGGAGGCGGGGAACAGCCAGCATCGCAAAAAGAAAAGTACGCTAGGATGTCACGCACTCATTTGGATTGCATGAAATGCAAACTCAATATTATGTTTAGTACTTTCAAAGAGTGGACGAAGGTACAGATAACAGTACTGTGCAAAGAACGAGGATGGCGTAAAGAGAATCGAGGCAAACACCAATCAAGAGCAGTAAACATCTCCACCACCACCAGACATAGGGCCATGCCACTTTTTATCAGGGTAACCGAAGGAGAAGCGAAAAGAAAATCCCCGAGAAAACCAACAATTACAGGGCAAGCAAAGAAAAAACAGCCGGCAAAGAAGGGAGAAAAAGTAAAGAAAGACGGAACGAGCAGCAGGGCTTGGGGCAGCTTCCACAACCAGGGTTCTTTCAATCGGGCTTTTCGGCGGAGCAGTTTTGACCGCGCCAGGGCAGGCCGAGGCCCCGCGGCGTCCGTGGGGGGCTCCCTGCGGCAGCGCCGCACCCCGAGCCGGCCCAGGCCGCCCGCCGCCTCTGCCCGTGCCGCTGCGGGCCGTCGGGCGCCCTTTACCTCATCAGGCCCTTGTCCATGAAGCACAGATCGCCGCAGGTGCTGTCGCCGTCTTCATGGCCGACTTCCTCCTCCACCGGCGCCTCCATGGCTCCGGCGACTGGGAGCGGGATCTTAACCGGCGCCCGGCACTGGGACCAAGAGCCCGGAACACGCCTCCCCGGTGCGCGGCGGCCCGGCCCGAGGGGGCGGGGCGAGCAGCCGCCCTTCAACCGACGCCCCGCACTTTCCCGCCCGGCGCGGCGGCCCTGGGCTTCTCCCCTTGCGGCTTCGCACGGCTGTGCTGTCTCTGCGGCGCGACTCTTGGCTCTTGCCGTAAAGCGAAACTCCTTTCCCGAAGTGTGCAAGCTGGGAAGTGATGGGTCTTTCCCGGGTGGCTTCTGTGCATGGTGTTTTTTTTTTTTAAATTTGTGTTGTAGGCGATTGATTTCTCAAAGTCTTTCACTGTAGTTTGTGTGATATATCTATAGGCTTAAGAGCCTAAAGCCCCCACCCCACCACTCCACTGCCCCCACCAGCCCTTACATCTACTGTGAATTCGGCCCTAAAACATTTGTGAGATCCTTTTCTTAGGCCAGCTACTTGCTATGCAATGAAAAATCAGAGGAAGCCCATTCTCGTTCCTGGCAACCCTCAAAGTTCAGTGAAGCAAACAAAGAATTGACAACGCTTTAGGGTTAGAGATAACACTGGAGATTTTCAGCCAGCTGTGTAGTGCTGTGGGTCGAGGGGGGTTGAAGACTGGGTAGTCCTGTTAGGTCAAAGGGACTGTTGGGGTTAAATGGCATCCCAGGTAGGAACACAATATCCAAAAGGGGTCAGAGTACTCTCCCACTTAGACTGCTACTGCTACGTGTGTCATTTTAATATTTAAAAATGCAAACAAAAGGTGTATTTAAAATCTGAACCTGTTACTGTCCTGAACAAAATTCTTTGGTGTCCTCTCATGAGCAACCAGATAAAAGCTTAACTTCCAAAATCTTATATGCAAGGTATTGCCAGACTTAACTGTCATTAGTGACCTATTGTTTAGCTAAACCTGTGATTTTAAAATATGCAGCCATAATTCACTGTTTCTTTGTCATGTGTCTTCTTCCAACAAGAGGTGTAAAATTTTCCTTTATAAAATTGAAGTTGGTTTACATTGTTGTTTGTAGTTTGGAAGTATGGATTCCCCTTCCCAGCGCTGCTACCAAAACTCTTCCACTACCATAGCATCTATAGTCCACCAAGAGAGGTGGAAATTTTTCTAGCTCCTTGATTCTGGCCTGGCTTGTGATTTTTTTTTTTTTTTTGATTAATAGAATTCATTTAAAAAGGTAATGTGCTAGTCCTGTTATAGGGCACCCCAAATCTGTTCCAGGACAGGGGGGAAGGGACACCCCTATAGCCCCAAAATCCTGCCTGCTCTAAGTGGGTTCTGCCATCCGCCGCAACAAGACAAAACATATAAAACTTTAATGAAAAGGGACTTTAATACAGTGAATATACAATACGGAACACAAAGAATATAACTTCTAAATCAAACACCTGAAGTTACCCATCCCCTTGTGGGCAAAAGTCAATCCAAAAAGGATTGGCCCAAAGTAAGGCCTGAAAGTCTGCCACAAGACTAAAGCACCTTCTGGCCAGGACACATGGAAAAGGGTCAGAAATGCCAGATAAATCTGGGAGGAAAAAAGCAAAATCAAAATCTATATAAACACTGCCATAGTCACCTCTCTACAGTTATCTCACCCACATCTGCCTTAACCAGTCCTGGGTCAGGAAATAAGCCCGGTTTCTTCATCACATGCTTGCTGCTCCATGTGGCCTCCTCAGGTCTCCTTCTGGTTCTCCATCCAGCTTCTTTCCTTCTTCTCTCTCCTTTTTCTCTGCTCAGCTCCACCCTCACGTCCCGGCACGCTTCTTCTTGGTACTGATGGGATTTGGAGTTCCAGCATCTGGACTGTACCTGTTACAGTCCCAACCCACAGCACCAAGATATCTTGCATGCTTCTGCTTCCTCTCCTAAAAACTACTGTGCTGTCATTTGCTAGCTCTTCATCTGCTTAGGGTAAGCTCACTTAAAAATAAGAGACTATTGGAGCAGAATTGGTCACTCAGAGGTAGCTAGTTGAATGCAGTCCACATTACCAGATAACAGAAATTGGAGTTAAAGAGTTTTGTTTTCAGCCAGCCAGTTCTGCAGGTGTATCACATATGTTTAGATGACTGAGATGGTCATTACTTCCATATAACTCATTAGAGATTTTCAATGGGAATAAATATTACAGTTTTACCTGCAACTGGGAACAGAACTTGTATTGCAGTGGCTGTGGATCACTTCATAGTGCTGTGCTTTACCTGGTTGCACACCAGGCAGGGCCGAAGCATGATTTTCCTTAACCAATGTCAGCCTCTCCTCAAGCCACGGGAGCTCAGTACCAAAAACGAAGCCAACAATTTCCTGGTTTTCAGGGTGCTGCCCGAGGGGCTGGTTTCTGTCTTGTCTCGCTTGGAGCAATGATGGAACTGTATGGTTTGGTAGAGGGAGACAAGAACAAAGGAAAGGGGTGAGTGGTTTGCTCTGTGCAGGACTGTCAAATTAGGAGCAGACAAGGAATTTGAAGCTTCCCTGCTCCCCTCAGCAGTGTATTTCAGTCAGTTTGCCTGTTCTGCTCCCCACTCTGTCTCTGGTGAATCCTCACTCCACACACCTCTGGCCTGCACACCAGTTCTTGTATGAATTATTTATCCATAAACCTTAAAAAAAGAGAAATTTTATTATGGGTACAGTCTAAAATCCTTACTTTTAGAAAAAAATATTGAAAGAACTAATTCAGTTGACTTCTGGAAAAATTAGATTTGGATTAGTTATTTTAAAAGGGATAAATGTTTTTTGTTTCAAATGGAATTTATTAAATTATTTGTACAGTGTCTCAGTGAATTCTGTATGAAAAGAAATAACCAGAGAGTGAAGATTCCTTATTCTTTCTCTTTCGGTGTGTGTCATTTTTTTTTATTATTCTCACATGTTTACTGAGTACACTTGATATAATAAACTGCTTTCAATAGCACTATTGAGGTAACTTTCTATTAAAGTGATCCAGATCATGTGTTTCAAAATTGACTTAAGACTGACCCATCCATTCCCAAATCTCCCAGCATGACTGTAATCATCTCTTCATATATCTGAATACCAGTTGTTTTATTGCTTTTTTTTTAGTTATTTCATAGAGATCCTGCCCCACTTGTACTGTCTTCTTTCTTAAAAATTTATTTATTTATGCATACAGAACTGGGGTACACGCCAGAGGTGCAGTGGCAGTGAGAGCATTCACCAAAGACAAAGTGGTACTGGCTGCTTTCTATGGTACTGTACAGTTGAAGTCTGGACCCTTCCCTGCTTGATTATCCTGGAAAGCTCCTTTACATTTTATTTCCTTTGTTAGAGTCTATATCTCTGTTGCCATGTTTTCATTTTCTTGGTTTACACTCTGCTGGAGTATATACCCTGCAGGAACTTCTGAGAAGGGTTGTAACTTTATTAGTGCCTTCACTTCTTGAGCTCCTCTGAGGTTCAACTTACTAGCTTTCCCCCTGCAGCTTCCTAAGCTTCCAGCTTTCTCTAATGGCAGCAGTAGTTAGCCATCTATTCTTCTCTTTTCCAACTTCTACATTTTTGTTACTTCTCTTGAAGTGCTGTCTATTCACTTATTCTTACATGCTTATGCATATTTTATTTCTTTCCTTTTATTTTAATGGGACTTCAGGAGATAGTAGCTTTTTTGCTCAATATAACATATTAACAAGAGATCATCCAATGTTCAGTTACCAGAATTCTAGAATGACGGATAGTGTCTGTGCAGTGAGGGGTAGAGGTAGCTCAGTTAAAAAAAAAAAAAAGTCATTAAAGTGGCCAACTGATGCATTAAACTGCTACTGCTAGATGGAAATAGACATGTTCTTTACTGCTAAGCATATTATAGGACTTGGGGACTTTATTTCATTTTGGCTTCACTAAACAAAATGGGCACTAGATGGCTCTATAAAAACATATATATTCAGAACATTTCATTGATGCAAGGATTTCAAGCTATAAAAGCTTTTGTAACAAGAAAATCAAAATTTAAAAGAAGGTCATTTTAATGAATTCAGAAATTTGTAAATGTTCTAAATGTCCTTTCTTGTCAATACTGTTGTGCTGGACCTATAGGAATTAACAAGATAAAAATGACATATAATTCACTGACAATAGAATCCGAGAAACTAACCAAGTCATTATAAATAGAAGAGAGTCTCAAATATGGAAAGTTTCATCAAAAGATATATAAGATGCTGTTGGGATATATACCAGGTCAACTAACAGACAGGGTCAAGGAGGACTTTTCTAAGATAGTGAGGTCCAGCTGACATCTGTGGGACACATATATTGTTAAAATAGTAGGCTAAAATGATGTGTGTTCTATGGTGAACAGTGGTATAGCTAAGAACGTGGAGGTGTGGGAAAGAGCATGGCACAAAGGAAGTTACAGGAGAAGTTGGCAGGGGAGAGTAAGACATGATGAGGGGGCAGTCTTTGAAAGGGCTTTGATTTCATATTGAGTCTAGAGGAGGTAAGAAGCCCTGAAGCATTTTAAGCACTTTAATCATGTAATCAGATTTATATTTTTAATATAAAAGAAATCTTTTTTTAAAAAGATAATACTTAATGACCATATGTAGTATAGATAAGATTTTGTAAAGTGTACATGGAACCACTAAAGACCCCAGAGAAATCATGACAAAAATCGAGATTATCACATTCCCAGACTTACAACTATACCACAAAACTGTAGTAATCAAAATAGAATAGTATTAGAATAAAAGACACACAAACCAATGGAATAGAATTTAGAGAATGGAAATAAACTTATATGGACATTAATATATGAAAAGAAGCAAAGAGTATACAAATATCCAATGACAGATGAGTGGATAAAGATGTAGTATATATACATACAAAGGAGTGCTCAACTCTATTAAAAAAAAAAAATGGAATATACCCCTGGCTCAGGAGTTAAAGTCTCGGACCTAAGAAGCTATCATCAGCCATTGCAGCATGAGTTTGATCCCTGGCCAGGATGCTAACCCTCATGGCACAGCAGACTTCTTCTGTTCTGCCCACTAATTCCCTTAGCAGTGTATGTCAGTAGATCCACTTGTTCTGCTCCCCACTTTGTTTCTGGTGAATCCTCT